ACATGTGTCCAAAAAGTTTGACCAGTGTTGTGGATGGCATTCCCCAAAAAGATACGTTAAAGTTCCACCTGTGGTACCTGTGAATGTGACCTGATTTGAAAATAGGGTCTTTGTAGATGTGATCTAGTTAAAACGAGGTCCTCGGGGTGGGCCCAATCCAATGTGACTTTTAAGAAGAAGGGAAGAGATGCAGCCACACAAAGGGAGAGCACCATGTGGCGACAGAGGCAGGCACCGGAGCCACACATCTCTAAGCGGGAACGGCCTGCCGAGCACAGCTGAGGACAGGCGAGGGCAGCCAGCAGGCACTGGAGCGACGCATCTCTAATCGGGAGCAGGCCTGCCGAGCACGGCCGAGGACAGGCGAGGGCGGCCAGCAGGCACCCAAGGCTAGGAAGAGGCCAGGAGGGATCCCCCCATCCTCCAGAGCGAGAGTGCAGCCCTGCCCACACAGCCTCCAGAATGAATTTCTGTTGTTTTAAGCCATCTAGTTTATATTTTGTTATGGCAAAAACAGTTTTTGTCTAGAATATAAACACAAATGTATTTCTATTAGTTAGGAAACGAATAGAACCAGTACATTAATTAGTGATACAACAACAAGAGGAAAAAGGCAACGTAGGCGCTAGCCTAACAACTGCGAAATGAATGCGTATGAGCAGAAGGAAGAGCAGGAATGACAGGCAGGCGTATTAAGTACAAAAACGTTCACACAGAGTCAGGCTGAGGGACTGACTCACAGGACATTGAGCCCAGTTTGCTCGGGGACTCTGGGTTACTTTTCAGTTACTAAGCCAGTCAGATTCTTCCTAAGTAAGCCAATTTGGGTTAGGTCTAAATCATCAGGAAAACAAAAAAATGCTCCTCACTAAACTAGGATAAAGAAGACTCCACTAGAAGTTATCTGGGATAAAATAAACTATTAATTGAAATTCCCAATAGGAGGTAACATATAAACATATAAACTTTATGTATTTTGACATGCTTGATGCATGATCTAGATCTTTCTTTTACTTTCATTGAGAATTTGAGGAGGACCACTTCAACATATTAATTCTTGGCTGGCATTATTGCTGATGTTTCTTGGAATGTATCAACAAAAGCACTAGAATAAAATGACAAACCATCATTGAGATCCTAGTTATTCTTTGCACAAAGTTCACTGCAAGATGTTACTGTATATTAAACGAAAACAAAACTAAACCCAGAAAATAATTTTTAAAAAGCCCCCCAAAACAGGATGAGGCTGGGTGTGGTGGCTCACGCCGATAATCTCAGCACTTTGGGAGGCTGAGGTGGGAGGATCACTTAAGCCCAGGAGCTCGAGACCAGCCTGGGTAAGATAGTGAGACCCCGTCTCTAAAAAGACAAACAACAAAAAAAAGAATTTTGAAAGGATGAGTGTGATTCAACCCACTGTTAGCTGCACAGCCACACCTGCACTCCCGGCACCCTACGCCAGAAACGCGCAGCCCATGGCTCCTCCTTCCTCGTGACCTAGCACTTCTGGGTCGCTCGGGCTCTGAGCCCAGAGGTACTTTTCCCTTGGCCACAGCATCTGTCTTCATCCACTCCCCACCCAGCGGTGTGCCAGGTCTCATCAGGCCTACCCTTCCTTCGGATCCCACTGTCTTTTCTAGACAGCAGCTGCCTGGTGTCCTCACCTGGAGCACCTCCCTCAGACAAGTCCTAAGCTCCTGTTGTGTGAACGCACTTCAGACCCAGCTCTAGTCATCTCCATCCACGTCCCACCTCCAGAGCTCTTGGTGGGCTCCCCATCTACGGATCAATGCGCCAACTCTCCCCTGACCCTCACTTCTTGTCCTCAATTCTGAAGTCCAGCCAAACAATCAAAGCTCTAAGTTAATACCCTTCAGCTCTGAAGCCCTCCAATCCTTTCATCATCTTTCTATCCTTTTCTGAGACAGAGTCTCACTCTGTCGCCCAGGTTGGAGTGCAGTGGCGTGATCTTGGCTCACCGCAGCCTCTGTCTCCCGGTTCATGTGATTCTTGTGGTTCAGCCTCCCAAGTAGCTGGGATTACAGGCATGTGCCACCATGCCTGGCTAATTTTTTTTTTTGTTTGTTTTGGTATTTTAGTAGAGATGGGGTTTTGCCATGTTGGCCAGGCTGGTCTCAAACTCCTGGCCTCAAGCAATCTCCCCGCCTTGGCCTCCCAAAGTGCTGGGATTGCAGGTATGAGCCACCATGCCAGGTCCCTTACATCATCTTTAAGGGCAGGGCCTGTCACTCCCTATCCCACCTTGAAAATAGCTCTTGTGCTCAAGCTGTTGGGTTCCAGTCTCCAATTTTTTTCTTTTTTTTGAGAGGGGGTCTCACTCTGTCATCCAGGCTGGAGTGCAGTGGCGCGATCTTGGCTCACTGCAACCTCTGCCTCCTGGGTTCAAATGATTCTCCAGTCTCAGCCTCTCAAGTTGCCAGTATTATAGGTGCACACCACCACACCCAGCTAATTTTTATATTTTTAGTAGAGATGGGGTTTCACCATGTTTGCCACACTGGTCTTGAACTCCTGACCTTAGGTGATCCACCCGCCTCGGCCTCCCAAAGTGCTGGGATTACAGGCATCAGTCATTACGCCCGGCCCCATTTTTTCTTTTTTTTTTAAATACAGGTTCTCGTTCTGTTGCCCAGGCTGTACTGCTGCAGTGGCGTGATCATAGCTCACTGCAACCATGAACTCCTGGGCTCCAGTGATCCTCTTGTCTCAGCCTCCTGAGTAGCTAGGACTACAGGCACATGTCACCATGCACAGCCACTTAATTTTTTTTTTGTAGGGATGGGGTTTCACTGTGTTGCCTAGGCTGGTCTTGAACTCTGGCCTTCAGTGATCCTCCCACCTTAAAGTGTTGGGATTACAGGCGTGAGCCGCCAAGCCTGGCTAGTCTCTGATCCTAACCAACACTCTCTGTTATGGCTCGAAGACGTAAACATAGGACCTTTTCTGTCAAACAGAAGGGTGTTTCCAGTATGCTATACTGCCCCCAACAAATCTAAAACAAAGTACTGGCATTTAAGAACCAGCAAAGAGAAATGCACGGGCACTGTGGAGACAATGCTATTACCTCAGTCTGGTATTTGAAAAGGATTCCTTTTTCAGTTTACCCCCTCCCAAAGCCCTTCCAGTTGTAGCCTAGGGTACCCTCTGTGTAAACCTTCAAGTGTTACATAAGATACTTGGAGTGTCACTGAAGATTGCCACTTTTAGGCTCTATAAAAGTCACCATTAACAATTTGGGAAGAAGCAAAGCTCTGTTGAACGTCCAGTTATTGGCTAGTCTTCCTCACCAGAGGCATGTGGGATCCCCGTTGTCCCTGGGACAGTCATCGGCATCCCAACAAGTGCCAGAGTACACCTCTCCCCAGGCAGCGATTATTCCATGGGGGTCTCATCCCTCACTACGCTTTTCCTAGTGCTGGCATGGTAAAAGGCAATTAACTATAAATTCAACGGAAACTCAATGTAGCAACTTCCATTTTGTTACAAGAGTGGGAAACAAAACTTGTTTCTGATTATCTTTTTTTTTTTTTTGAGATGGAGTCTCACTCTGTTGCCCAAGCTGGAGTGCAGTGGCATACTCTAGGCTCACTGCAAGCTCCACCTCCCGGGTTCATGCCGTTCTCCTGACTCAGCCTCCCAAGTAGCTGAGACTACAGGCGCCCGCCACCACGCCCGGCTAATTTTTGTGTGAGCCTGCCACTAAGCCCGGCTCTGATTATCTTTTTAAGAAGACTTAAGTGTGACCGCGCGCGGTGGCTCACGCCTGTAATCCCAGCACTTCGGGAGGCCGAGGAGGGCGTATTACTTGAGGTACGGAGTTCGAGACCAGCCTGGCCAACATGGTGAAACCCCGTCTCTACTAAAAATAAAAAATTAGACGGGCGTGGTGGTGGACGCCTGTAGTCCCAGCTACTCGGTAGGCTGAGGCGGGAGAATCGCTTGAACCCGGGAGGGGGAGGCTGCAGGGAGCTGAGATCGCGCCATTGCACTCCAGCCTCGGCGACAGAGTGAGACTGTCTGAAAGGCTTATGGGTTTCTGGTCAAGTCATCTTAGCGACTGAAAGGGCTTCAGAGAAATCTGAAACTCAAGTGCAAACAAAACAAAACAAACCCCAAAACAAAAAACAACCAACCATCAAACTTTAATCTCTATAGCGGCAGAGCAACTTTCCTCAAAGTTTTGCTCAGCAGAACACATCTGAAACTGGCCCGCTATGTGCTATGCATCCAGAACAGGAAAAGCCGGACCTGAAAATAATATTCCACGCTAAATGGGCCGTCCCGGCCGGGGCAGGCGCTCCCAGCACCCATGCTGCGCTCCCCGGCATCTGGCACTACCGGGCCGCGCCGGCTTTTCGGCAACAGCAAGGCCGGAATCTAACTCCACACCCTCCGGGCTTGCACCGCGCACCCAGGCTTTGTACCCAGCTCCCAGGTGG